TATAGTATATACTTATAGTAAGATATAGTAAGATTATAGTATTCTCAGGAAGGCTTAAGCATCAAAGAACGGCCTCCGGTTGCAGCTGGGTTAAGCCTGGTTTAAGGAAAAAAAGCGGAGGAGGAACAGGAGAGGCTGAGAAAGATTGAAGAAGAGAAGCAGGCCATGGCCACATGGCCATGCCAGGGCCACTTGATTTTGCCCGAGGGCCAGAGGGATTTTGTTTTTGTTCCAAAGGACAAAGATGAGGTTTAGAACCAGTGGATGGAATGGGGTAGCCGAATGCCGATTATTTTGGACACAGATGAAAACTAGTGACTAAAGGAACCTGTGAGTGGTTGGTTTTGTGTTTTGGACCATAAGTGGAGGAAGTGGATGTCCAGTGTTTTCATGGCTTAAGGTTTGACAATTTTGATCTGTAGCTAGATGAGATTGTAAACCAACAAACACAACTGGGAGTCACCACCAGGCGTCCAAAAACTGTGCGGGAGGCCTGCCGAGCCATTTTGGGCTCCATTGCTGAGTTGCTGCAGTCTTGCGAGGCAATTTGTCGATATGTGTACAAGAGGAGCAACGGCAGAGTTTTTAGGAGCAATAATTTACGTAAATATCTCTGGGTAAATTTCATCACGACCGAACCCTGTTCTCAAAAAAAAACCTGGATAAACCCATGGGTTTTTATCGGAAAATCATCCCCAGCCATGGCCTAGTTTTATTCAGGTTAGGATATATGGGATCATGGGGATAGAATCTGCTTGGTGCTTCGGAACATGACTTGATTTTCCATTTCACATATGGGATGTCATCCTTCCCATTGACGAACTCCATCATTTTTCAAGATGGTTTTATAAAACCACCAAGCAGGAATGGTGTTTCATGGAAACATCAGGAAGTTTTTGTTGCAAGCAACTTCATCGTGATCGGAAGACGTGATGGGGACGGATATATTTATGACATTTTATGACCACAAGGTGGTGCCCCAGTGAGCTGTTCACGCTAAGTTGACTTACATAACTTGGTTAACTGTGGTTTATGGTAGATATAACGAACTAGTTAATGGGGTTTATACCGACTTATAACTGGGGGACACTACCCTGCAGGAATGTGAAGGTTTTTTGAAACATTATGAAACATTTGATATTTGCCACCGATTATGGCAATGCTGCTAAAAAACCGGGTCAGCTTTGGATGGAAAGGTTGGATGGGTAGTTTACCCTGAGGTACCTAACGTTTTTGTATGGAAAACTCATCGTTTTTTCTAGGACAATGATTGACAATGATCTACATTTCTGGTGGGTTTTCCACATCTGTGAGTTTACAGGAGGTCGAATTGAATTTACCCCGTCTCACTATGGACATATCGATCGCATAAACCCAAAAGTCAACCGCTATCGACCAACTCATTTCCACCAACTCAGCTATCCTACATCAACTATAAGTCCATATCGATCGTCAATTGTGTGGGTGAAATCACACTTCATGTTTTCACATGTTTCATAGTTTCTCTGTGAAAATTATTCATAGTTCTAGATAGACCTCTAATTCTCCAGAAAAATCCATCATCTGTCCCCTTTTCCCTCAAACAAATCCAGCGTTTTGGTGGCTTTCCACTGGCACCCGGCCTTTCGACCAAACCGCAGTTGTTTGGTGGCAGGCCACCGCGTCGGCAGCGGAGAACCGCGCCAAGCCATTGATCAAGGACGACACCGAGAAGGCAGAGCAGGGAGAGTCATTCTTAGGACTTAAGACATTAATGATGAATAATGGTAAATTATAAATGGTAATTGCAATTGGGATTAAGAATGGTGATGAATATTGGTGATATTTATAATTGTAATTACCATTGTCAATGGTAAATTATTGGGATTTATAATGCTGATGAATGGTACTATTGTAATGTTATGTAATAGTGATTAAAATACAATAGTGATTATAATGGTTATCACCATTTAATGTTATGTAAATAGTGATTAATGGTTATAAGTACCATTATTTGTGATGCATTGATGGTACTCGACTTACTTATTTCATGGTGATTTATGTGACCAATGGCATTGTTATTAGGCCATGATGGTGATGAATGGTGACTTATGGTAATGGTGTTTATCAATGTTAATGGTGATTAATGATGACTAATGATAGTTACATAATGGTGATTTAATGGTCAACTAATAGTTATTCATAGAGCAACTATCTCTAAATGCGTGGGAATGATGCAGTAATGGTGATTAGTGGTAATTATTCATGGGTGAATTGATGGTGACTAAACATGCTTTTTTTCCAACAAAGAAATGACATGACAATGGATCTATTGAAATGGTGCTCATTGATGGTGGGGCAAATGGTAAGTGGAAATATGCTCGAAATGGAGGTATTGACAGGAAAATCATCTACACACGGACAACTAATGATGATTTATTAATGGTGATTAATGATGATTTGATGGGTTTTAAATAGTTGCGTTAATGGTGGTTATTAATGGTGCACATTAACTATTGATGATGGTGATTAAGGATCAATTAATGAGGATCAATGCTGATTAATGGTGATTATCAATGTGAAACCAGTTTAAGCTTTGGGACATGATAAATGCAGGGCGGTATCCCGAGTTTGAAGCCTTACTGTACTGTAGTTGGGAATATCCCATTTTAATGCGTTAAGGTTTTAGTTTGCATATTTGATCTACTCCAGGATGACTATATTAATATGTATATATATATATATATACATCATTCAGCATATTATGAACGGTGATTCTTGGGCATGATTATATATACAATGGTGATTAATGGAGATTCATCATGGACATTTTTAGGACATGATGGGAGTTAGCCAACAGTAGATATTCCAAGGTAAATGACAAAATATTCCATAGACTATTGAACATCTATGAAGATTAATGGATTAATTATGTTCTTAATATGTTCCATGTATATTTCACTAGTGTCACCATCGGTGGTTATTGTAACATGATTATAAAGAGCTGATATGCATGCTAAATTAATTAATGGAGCATTTTAACCAAGTATACTATATGATGACTATATGCCAAGTACTTGATGGCTATACTGGGGATGTACTGATAGCCTCTGGTAATCAAATATGGCTGGAATATCCACCATAAATGGTAGGGGCCACATATTGCCATGTTTGAGTACCAGAAGGTAAACCATCTTAAATATCCATTTAAACCTAGGAAATCATTTTAAATCACTATTGAAATCCATTCAGGGGTGAAATAGTACTAAATCTGCACTCAAATCCGTTAAATACTACAAACTAAATCACCAATGTTCAATCCTTTAAATCACCGTAAATGGAAAAAAAACCTGGAGGGACCCGCCCAGCCGGACATCCACTCCAAGCAGGTCACGGTCACACCTTTTTTCGGAAAACTCCGTGAGTTCCAACGGGGACGTTGGCCAGAATAAAACATACCTGGTTGGTGGTTTGGAACATTGTTTATTTTCCATAATGTATGGGATAATCCTTCCCATTGACTTTCATATTTTTCAAGATGGGTTGAAACCACCAACCAGATACAGTTACGGCCCGTTTACCAGCTATAAGTACTAGTATTTATAACATTTTATAACCCGATTTATGGAATGTATAATCTCATAGAAATAACCAGTTATAACTAATAGCCACGGCCATAACTGTACCCTCTGGCAATTAATAGAGCTATGGAAAATCACCATTTCTTCATAGGTACATATAGGTACATCATCTTAGCTATGTGAGTTTGCCGGAGGTAATGAGGGTTTTTGATGGGGACATGATCGGACATGATGGCACATGGATATATTGGGGATGTATAGTGGGTATGTTGCCATGGGGACATGGGAATATACCCTCTGGTAATTTAACATAACTATTGAAAATCACTATTTTGAATGGGAAAACTCACTATAAGTGGCCATGTTCAATAGTTATGTTAGTTTACCAGAGGGTATCCTATTTGGTGCTTCACCGGTGAATCGCAAGTGGTTTACTCACCTGTCGATCCCAAAGTTAGGAGCTTCACGACCCAAAAATTGACGCAGTCAAAAGCGATGTTTCCGCAGGGGTCTGATGAGATCAATGCAGAAGCGGATGAGGTGCCCGAAATTTGGGATGATCATGCATCCCTTTTTGAAACGTCAGTGATTCAAGGGTCCAAGGTACCCTTTGTATCCCTTTGTTAATCAAATTTAGTCTCGAGCAGATTGACGAGGACGCATCCAGGTCAAACATGTACCCTCTGGTAATCAAACATGACTATCGAAGATGGTCCATTCATAGATGATTCACTGTACCCTTTAATTATGCAACGATGTTTTGTTTCATATACTAGAGGGTATCATTTTCGCAGACTCATTGATAACATGTCAATGCTGCAGGTGAGCCCTTAAAACGCAAGGCTCTATATAAAGTTTATTGCTGCTTGAAAACGATTGGATGCTTCTCACTGTTTTCTCATTGCAGCTAAAGTTGCGATTTGTTGGGGTATCCCTTTTTCAATGTGAAAAATCTACGTCCACAGCACAGTACTTGTCTCACCGTCATCCAAAGTCAAACGGCTGTTTGGCTGTGTGGGATCCCATTTCTTTCCTGGCTGATGTTCCAGAATATATTTATATATATATATATGGTTAAATAAGGGGAATTATCCCAAAATAACCTTATTTCAGGTTAGTGAAATATTATAATTTACCCAGATATATATATATATATATCCCATTGCAATATCCTAGAATTATTCCGACTGGCTGGTTGTCGTGTTGCCCCAGTTAGAGGCAAACCCATTGCTGGTTTGATATCCCAATGCGTCCCAGTTATTAGTACTCATACATTCCCCTGACGCATGATTTCCCATGTTTTTTTTGATTTCCCAATGTGAGGCTCATGACGCGTGACTGAATCTCCAAAGCCACTTCATTCCCAGTCGTGGAATCTCAATATACACGTATATATAGTTTATAGATGTTTATACTGTTGTAACCTAGATTTAGATTTTTGTTTTACCATTCTGCAATCATGGTGACTAGCCACTTCCCACCTTGACAACCTCCCGAGCCAGGTTCTCAAGTCGGTGGAGGAAGCAGAGACGACTTTGCAGAGCTCCACTGGCAAGTTCAGTGAAGCCAAGGCGCCCGAGTTTCGGTGGAAAATTGGGATCTTCACCAAGGGGACACACCCTTTGGTACCCTCTGGTTATGACTAACAGGGCTAGCCATGGAAAATGATGGCCCTAATCGAAATAGATGGTTTACCGTTCTTAAAAATGGGTGGATCTTTCCATGGCTATGTTAGTCATAACCAGATGGTCGTCAACCTGGCTGGGAACTCCGAATTAAGAATTAAGATTTCAATGTGGACAATGATCCATAAATGGTGGATGCTCCCTTGGAACGTTTGACTACTGAAGGCTAATGGAATATTTAATGTGAATCGGATAGAATGGAATGTTAATAGGGTCGAATCGGATATGCATGACATATTGAAAGTTGTTCTTCCAGGCTCGCAAACTTCCACCAAGTTTTGTTGCAACAAAATCACCAAAGAATGAACAATTAAATAGCCTCTGGGGTGGTTCTCCCACTATATTCCAGTTTATCCGCATGACAATTCTATTTGTGATGGTTAATCCTCCATCTGTTGCCATCAGGATCGGGGTTATTTTACCCCATAGCCATCCAGAGCCCATATACATTATTGGTAGGAAACAACATTCCCATGATTTTCCAATGATATGTCAATGTTAGTAGAAGTTCGCAAATATTGACTATAGTTCTATCCCCCATAAACATTCAACCAACCTAGGTAACCTAGCATCCCTACAAGTTACTGGAATGTACGAAGGGGGGGGCCTAGCTAATGTACGGTATGTTTTCGTACATTATTTTTGTCCCCAGGAGCTGGTTCGTACATTTCTAGAAGGGGGGGGGGCCATATGAGGAATGGCAGATAACTATTCGCCCACAAGTTTGGTATAGAATCATAATATGCCACTGCGAATGCCTGGGAATCATGGGAAAGGATGGAAAAGGAATACAAAGTTAATGCGCATTTTCATCGGCATTGATGATTTGTTTTGTTTGTAACGTTTGTGGCTTATAGCGGCATTCGGTGGCAGGATTCGCTGTTGACACTGTTTTCCAGAATCCTCCCACAAGCGTAGAATGCCGGAAAGCGGTGGCAAATTCAATGGAGAAGACAGGCGAGGGGACAGTGGAACTCCAGAACCATCCTGCTATATCCTGCTACTGTCTGTGGTTTTGGGCGAGCTTGTCCTGTTCCCTGCGCTTTTGCGACTCTTGCTCTTGCTGCTCCTGCTTGTCTTGTCTTGGCCCACCCCAAAATCATTGTGGAGGGAAGCGACCTGCACATGAAACGACATCGTTTTCAAGATACACCGATGACATCAGAAAAAGTTTGTCAGGAGAGAAGGGTGTGTCAAGTCTCTGGCTTCAGAGCTGTCGACAAGATTGGCCTTCAAGATTCAGAAATGTCAGGAGCAAGCCGGATCAATAGAAAGTGGCAGCACCAGACAAAGATGCCGAGAGCAAGGAATGTTGCGGACAAGAGATCGCGCTGTCGACGGCCGTGCCAGCCAGGCGGTCAGGGGCCGTTCCTATAGGCTCTCCCTTGTCTTTCTAGGTTCTTCCATGTTCTTCCTCTCGAAATTTCCGTCATCCGGCTTGCCCGGGCTCTGCTTGTAGGATCTCCTAGTCTATCCTGGTGGTGATGTTTGCTGACAAAATCTCATGATGTATGTAAATAATACTCCAAACAGATAGGTTCATTTAATTTTGATTAATACCTTCGAATGCAGTGGAAAGGAAAGACTTCCGAATTTGGTGAGTATGTGTTTGGTGAATTCACCAAATGTGTGGAGTCAGCTGCGGTGTTTCGAACCTTCTTGACCAACGTGGACAAGTTTTGGCCACCTGTCCTTCCCGGCGCTTGAACAGAGATTGCACAATGAAGTGCGCAATGAAAATTGATTTTCAAAGAGTGATGGCATGCACCTTGGACAAGTGGCCTTTTCACCCAAACTTGGGCATCTTGGGGCGAACAGATGCGAAAAGTGAGCAGAAAAGAGTCAACAAGTTCTGCAAGGGTTCCATGCATGGTTCCGGTTGATAAGCCATAGTGAAGTTAGGGTTATGTTGACCAACTTATGGTTTGGTGGCCTTTCTTTGTAGCGACAAATTGCTGGTAATCACGACCTCTGACCCACAGAATCCCACAGACACCTAGAGTTTGCCTGGTTCATTACTGTTTTCTACATTGCAGCTTCCTAGAACATAATGTTCGAAACAGAACACCAACCATAATCAACCCACTGGAATCTTTGTCTGACATCCCCATCGTTGCCTTTGAACGGATCACTATGGATCTGCAGGGACCCAAAGGGATCATGAAAAAACAGCAAATCAAGACATGGGGATGGATCCCCTATGACAAGCATGAAATTCTTCCCTTTGGCAAATTAACATAGACCCTGGTAAATAGGGGTTGGAAGACTGGTTTCCACTAAAAATGTCTTATTTTCAGGGTCTATGTTAAGTTACCAGAAGGTATATTTGGGGGATGAACATCCATAGATCCCAGCTTTGGTGTGAAAGAATGTGAAAAATGGGACGGAGATTCCATTGGTATTCCATGGGTGCCATGACGTCCTCGAAGCATTTCGCAGTACCATCCTGCCAGAAGACAACTCTTAGAGTTAGTAGCTATGGTTATCCCACATATTATACATATTAAAATTGTTTAATTAAATTTGTGTCATAACTATAGTTACATTATTTTGCAATCACCAGCTGTATCCAACATATATATATATATAATGTATAAGTGGGATTGTCTGATGGTCCTAGTAACCTCAGGTTGATGCCCACTGTTTTTGGAATATGACATCAAATGGCTTCGACTTTAGGGTTGGATTGGTCAAAAACACGGACCTTGGCTGCCATAGGCTACCAAAGGAATATGGAATTGGTATCAAATGCATACTTGTATAGATATTTTTTGAGCATACCCGGCAAATCCGGGGAATATATGATAATATATGGATATCTGCGGTAGCCCCCATTGGTGGCTTGGAAATGTACGAGGGGGGGTTGGGCCCTCCACTAACTTGTAGGGATAACCTAGCTATCATACAGCAACTATAAATCCATAGAAATCACAACGTCCGTGGATTCAATCACCATGTTTCCTAGGTTTAAGCCTGAAACCCACCATTTTTGCCTGGAAAATCCACCATTGTAGTTGTGGTAAACAGCGATTTTCGGGATGGCGTAGCCACGGCAGGAAGCGTTGGCCGCGTTGGAAGCGCCGGGGCAAATGAGTTCCGACCTGCAGAAGTTGGAAAAGCGCCCTGATGGCATAGCATCGACACGTGCATTGACCATCATTGACCTCTCTGTGTATAGAGTACTTTCCCCATGGATCCAGTTGTACGTTCTTAGGAAGTACTTGGGGTATGATTTAGGGGGTTAAGTAGCTTCTCAGAAAGTGTTTGGATCCATAGGGACAGATATGGGTCACATTTTGGTACCTTAACAAGTGGATGGTTAATACATGTTAATACAACATATATATATATAGCAAAATATGTGGTCACATGTCTTAAAATTTGACCCATAGCCATATACACTAATCTCGATGTAATTGCAAACTCTTAGTCTAATCCAATCCCATTAGGCTGTGTAGTTATATATATACATGCATGCATAAACATGCATAAACATGCATAAACATGCATAAACATGCATATACATACATGCATACATGCATACATGCATCCATGCATACATGCATACATACAAGGAGAGCCCCCCCAGTGATGTTTGTTGGTTTGTAAACCCAATAAGTAGTTCGTTACACTCCCCATAAATTGCAATTAGCCTGGCTACAAGCAAGCTTAGCTGTCGAGGGGGCCTCACATAGTACTGTGTGTATATATATATATAGAGAGACATATATGATAAACTTACCTTGGTTAGTAGGTTTTACACAATATACTAGTCTCTATACTACCAATCTCTATTTTACATGTGCCAATACATAAATATTGTAATTACACACAGTATTCTACATAGTATGTATATTGTACAGTCTACTAACCCTAAACTCTAATGTTATATTTTTATTATCTAGTATGCATCTATCAATTAACCTATATCTACATGCAACAATCCATAGCATATCGGCAGAATCGTCTACATCGTGCATGGCGCATGTCAGCTGCCATGGGATGTTCGATCCAATCCCAGTTGCTGCGGTGACGATAGGGGCGCCAGTACGGCCGGGCCGCTACCCAGCACTACTGGCTCCATGAGTGCTTTGAGTTGTTAGTTGCGTGTGTATGTCCCCTACTCATGGAAAATCATGGTAAGCCATCTAAATGGGCCATTGTTTTCATAGCAGACTGTAGCAAATGACCCTGGGGTATGAGCATCCCTATGCACGCCTTGCCAGCACCAAGGAGAGAATCAAGGACCAAAGGCATTGCGGGTGGAAGTTGCCCAAAACGTCGCGGTAGATAACCTCAATCAAGCATGAAACACAGGTCTCAATCCAGGAAAAAAAATGCGTTTTTGTCTACCAGGTTTTAACACGTATAACAGTAAGGGTTTTGTTCCAAGCAATGATACTCGTTTTGTTTGATATGTTGATTCATCCCAAGAATGGCATGAGTAGAGTCGTTTGTTTGAAAGGATTGGAACCACCATTACGGTTTCTGAAAAAAAGGTATGACCCAAATTTGTCATTGTCATATGTTGCCCTTCGAGTGGCTTACAACCCATATTCCGTGTGAGTCAAAATTAGATATACTTACAATTGGATGGTCAAGCTCCTAAACATGAACAGAATCTGCCGGAAAACCTCCAGCGCCTGGCAAATTTTGACCCATACCACAGGGTGGTGCCCCAAATCGTTATATAGCTGAATTGGTTTATAAATCCAATAACTTGGGGTTATGAGGGTTACATATATATATATATATGTATGTTAATATTTGTCAAAGGGAACTGAACACTAGGACACTTGTGATGTACATGCTTAATTGTATATCTGGACGCCGTACTGGCTCAAGTCCGTGTGCGAGGAAAAGGGTCCGAGCTGCGCTTGCCATGCCTCATCAGAGTCCGGCAATACTAGCATAACAGGTACCGCAATTGATAACTACATCCAGAACAAGGATTCATTTGTTCACAGGTTATCAGCCGTAGGGCTCACTTCTCCCGCCGGGAGAGTGGTACCTGCGTGCTGGTAGCCGGGCCTTCTGAGCAATTGATTGAGGACGCAAAGGACCAATCAGCTCACCATCGCAAAGATGCAAGGCGGCAGCGGAGATTCGCGCACCACGCAGTTTACCTTCAATGAGAACGCTGCTATGCCGGTCGAGGAGGTCAATCAATCTTCCCCTGGCGACACGGCAGACAGTGGCGGGATACGCTCTACCCGAACTACACAGTCCGGATGGCAAGTCACATCAAACAGACGAAGAATATCCACCCAAAGTACACCTAGATCTTCTCGAAACAGTGCTCGGAGTGATGTTGTCCGCCAAGGGCATCGACCATCTCGAGGACGTACTACTCCAAGGGACAGATCCACCAGGGCCGTAACCGACCGAATTGGTGAGAGGACCGGGGATAGTCGTGTTAAGAGGAGATCGACGGATACTTCTGTGGCTAGTGAACCTATTGCCATGATAGAAGAACTACGGGCACAATGTCAATCCCTACGTAATCAGCTGAACAACATGGAAGCATACGCTGCATCCAGGGATCAACTGATTCATGACATCGAGATCAGGTTCACTGAGTATCTTCGGGAACACAATCAGAATGTATTTGATGAGGTCAATGCACTCAATCATAGATTGTCATGTTCCGCAAATGAGGTTGCAGAATATCAAGCAGAACTAATGGTAGCATCTCAGGAAGATGAAGGTGCAACAATACGCATCCAAGACCTTGAACGCCGAGGTGCCCTAATGGAACATGGTGCACGACGGATCCATCAACGTGGTATGGAGATCCAGGAGGAGTACAAGGATGAAGTACATCACCTTCAAGGACTACTGGGTAATACGGAGGCAAGACTACAACAACTTCATCAAACCAATGTCTTAACCACCGATATTGCCAATCGACTATACAATGAAGGTCAAGAAATGCAAAATGATTTCCAGAACTCAATCATGGAATATCGTAATCGATCTGAAATGGCATCCTCCTCTAGTAATCAACTTGAAGTGATTAGCCAGCAACAATCAATTGCAGTTCATGAATTATCTGAGCGAAATCAGCTATTGAGTGAAGCCTTGGTTCAGTCTCGTAAACAGGCCGAGCTGTATGAGAGCAGTATTGATGAGATCACTAGAGAGTCTAGGAAGAAGGTGTTCGAGGCAAATCAGGCCAAATTGGAAAGTGATCTGAAGCATCGAAACACTGAACATGATACCGTCAAAAGAATTGCATCATACAGGAACCAAGAGGCCGAAGCAATATCTCACCTGAGGCTTGAATCACAGGCTAGTGCAAACTCGATCGCAAGGGCAGAGCACTATGAAGAGCTCTATGCCAACGAGCAGAAGATGAACTGCGAATTGAAGGATGAGATCAAGTTGCAGAACACGAAGTTACGAAGATCGTTGACTCAGGGTTCTACGACCGACGGTCGTGGCCCCGAAGAGATGCTTGTTGAAGATCTACGTAATCAAGCTAAGATAGCTCAAATCAGGGTTCAGGATCTAGATCATGAAGTTCATGAATGCTTACAAGAGAACTTGTTGTTAAAAGAAAGGTTGGCTGAAGTTGCGGATGTAGGGGCGTCGTCCCTCACCAATGCTGAGGTCCGAACTCTAAGATCTGAACTAGAGAGTGAGCGAAAATTAAAATTGGCGAGTGGTGTTCAACAATATGAGAGATCATGCATGTTCATGGGGGAAATCCAGGATAGGGATGAAAAGATTGGCATCAAGAATTCTGAGATTGTTGACATGAAACGTCACTTAGATGAACTGAGAAAGAGTCTCAAGGATTCTGAAACATCTATGGCTAGGATCAGTCCTGACACACTTCCCTATTCGGCAGGCATTCCCAACTCCGATCTCGCATCCAGACTGGTCATCGACAAACTGGAGAATGACGTGAGTGAGGCTAACTGTGAAAACGCTATTCTGAAATCTTGGGTTTCGCAGATCGACAAGGAGTTGACTTATGAGACAAATGTGGCTCATTCCTATCGTGGGCATGCTGTACCTCCTCAACAACCACAGCATTCTCAATCAAGCAAAAGAATCGCTGATCTACTGAAAGAGGTTGACAACAAGATCGCTGGCGGAACTGAGAGGGAATACTACAGGCCACCGAGTGGATGGGGCGGTCCGCCTGACCCTGATGGACCTCCGGACCCTTTTGGGCCTAACGGTCCAGGACCACCTCCTGAACCTCCTGGTTTGCCATCGGTTCGAGGATCACAACGCGATTCAGCAGATGATGTCTCCACAGCGGCTTACACTGCGGAAGAAGTACCAAGAATGTCAAGACGAGAGGCTGACAAAGTCTATGTTAGCCCATGGCCAAAGCAACAGAATCTTGGGGTTTGGCAATCAGATCTCATCAAGAGTGTTGTTCTTTCGGCAAATGACGGGGATAAAGCCGCATGGGAGGCATGGCTACAGCCGGCTATTCGACCAAATCCTGACATCGAGCTGTTGAATGACAGTGGGGGGCAACGGTATCAGTCCATCGACGCCAAGTTGTCAATTGCATTGTCAAACGTGATAGCCCAAGCCGGTGATGTTGCTCGTCATGTAGCGATCAAATTGAGATTGAGAACACAAAGTCATAGCCGAAGAGGAACCTATGTCATGGGACGGGAAATCTTGGCTTTGATTCTGGAGCACTTCAGAACCCCAGGTCAACGAGAAACATCCTTCACCATGGAGCACATCGTATCGATGAAGTATCTCGGTGACTCGAACCTAGAAGTGTTCTACGAGAAATGGATGGAGATGGTATCAAACATGATGCCGGATGACGTACCTCCTGATGATTGGCTTCGTGACGCTCTATACAAGAAGATTCGAAATTCGAGTCTTATGATGTTTGACATCAAGCAGTACGAGTCATGGATGGAAGGAGACCAAAGACGAAATTATCGCTACCTGTTGGATGTCATCGAAAGGCACATCTCCAGAATCAGAGAGGACAAGCATGTGGCAGCCAGAGAGAAGTATGCGAGAGACTTTGCAGGCGGCGGCAAACCTTCAGCTCCTGCTCCGAACCCAACTGCTGCTGCACCGGATGCAAATCCAAAAGCGAAGCCTAAAGCTACTCCCAAGGAGAAGGCAGCGCCCAAGGCGAAGGCCAAGGCCGATGCAGCTCCAGTTCTACCATCACCTCAGCCTAAACAGCATGCAAAAGGAAAAGGAAAAGGTCAAGGGAAAGGGAAGGATCGATCAAACGGCCGAAGTACCAGCCCCAGATCCAAGAAGAAGATCCCATGCCATTTCCATTTCATCAAGAAAGCATGCAGAAAAGGCAAGGATTGTGAATACAGTCACGACCAAAAGGTATTTGATGCGAACAAGAATGCAAAAGGCAACGGTCGGAAGCCAGGAACTCCAAGAAGTCAGTCTCCGGCAAACAAGACCAAGAAGATTGATGAACCATGCTGGCATTGGGCTAAGGGCAAGTGTCGGTATGGAGACAAATGCAACAAACGCCACGATCCTCATCTATTCAACACTGCTCCAAACACTGAAGCACCAAGCTCAAAGGCTACTCCTGCACTTATCCATGATTGGAGTGATGATGAAGGGACGTTCCATAAGGTTGCATCGAACGTGATCAAGAAGAAGATCAGATTTGATGAGTCTAAAACTCAAGTTCAAACTTACGTGAAGAAGGACTTCGTGAAGTGCAGCCGGAAATCCCAAACCATCCCCAAAGGTCATGGTAAAGTTGGCAAGCCCACTGATCAGATAAGGAAAGATGAGCAATGGTCTTATTCATGCAGGTTAGCTTCGAGCCGAGGGAAAGCAATGGCTATTCTGATCGATGAGAAGGGTGAACACAGTGACATTGATGAAGTCCTGGTCATAGTCGGCCCTAGCATGGACATCCTGATCAGACTCGACGTCGAGGACGGTGAGGTGTCCAGGGAAGTATTTGTGGAAAACTATGTTCAGCATATTGAAGGTCGATATGGTAAAAGGGGCAACACAATGTGTATCACTGTTCCTGTTGAAGAGAGAGATAAGAGATTCATATTGGATTCTGGAAGTGGCCATGATCTCATTTCATCCACACGGATAAGTAGAATGGATCTCCCAACATACGATGACAAGGTCGTCAACTTCCATACAGCAAATGGGGTAACGTGTTCGACCAAACGTTCAAGCATCAAGTTCGAGGCATTTAGCGAACCAGCAGAAGCTCACATCTTGGAGGACACACCCTCCGTGCTCTCCATGGGAAAGCGATGCG